GCTCCAAAGTTAGTGAATCATAAAAGAAAACATACTCCAAATATATGAATCACAATTAACAGATACTTTATTTCAACAACCATATCTTTCATCTACAAATTTAAAAGTAAAACTCAAACCCCAACAATCAGTGTTTCTACAGACCTTAAAACCAACAATAAGATATCAGCAACTGATACACAGATATATGAATCACAATTAACAGATACTTTATTTCAACAACCATATCTTTCATCTACAAATTTAAAAGTAAAACTCAAACCCCAACAATCAGTGTTTCTACAGATTATAAAACTTGCCTATCTTAAATACAAATCGCAGCACACAGAACTTGCCTTAAACTAGTCTTGCATCTACAAATGTAAAACAAATACTTATTTTTCTATCATCTACATATATGAATCACAAGTAAAAGATACTTTAATTCAACAATTAAACCTTAAAATCAACAATAAGATATCAACAATTGATAAACAGATATATGAATCACAATTAACAGATACTTTATTTCAACAACCATATCTTTCATCTACAAATTTAAAAGTAAAACTCAAACCCCAACAATCAGTGTTTCTACAGATTACAAAACTTGCCTATCTTAAATACAAATCGCAGCACACAAAACTTGCATTAAACTAGTCTTTCATCTACAAATGTAAAACAAATACTTATTTTTCTATCATCTACATATATGAATCACAAGTAAAAGATACTTTATTTCAACTATGAAACCTTGATATCAACAAGTAACAGATACTTTATTTCAACAATGAAACCTTAAAATCAACAATAAGATATCAGCAATTGATAAACAGATATATGAATCACAATTAACAGATACTTTATTTCAACAATCATATCTTTCATCTACAAATTTAAAAGTAAAACTCAAACTCAAACAATCAGTGTTTCTACAGATTACAATATACACTAGATACGTTTATTTTTCAACAATGTGTAAATTAAAAGCAAAAGATAGACATACCATGGGTAGTGTTGGTCGTAAAATGGGAGGGGCAACCTTTCTACCCCTTTTCTTTTTAGTTTTTGCATCCTTTGCTTTAGATGATGATCCCACTTTCGTTTTCGATTTTCTCTTGGAAGAAGTTCGATTCGCCATTAATGTCGTTGCATGCAAGCTTTTAGACCTCTGTTCATTCAAGTTTCGGTGTTCAGATTCAAAAATTTGTTCATTGTTAGGTGTTATTAATTGGGAAATCCCAATATTAAAAGAGGGATGATCCATTGTGACAAATAATCCAAAATCGATTGAAACAAAAAATTGATTTTGAAAGAAAAATGAAGAAGAAGAAGAATACCTATTTTGAACTTTGACACTGTTGAATCGTTTGGAAATCAAATTGCTTTGAAAGCAGTAACTGATTTGGTAGTGGGAGAGATTATAGGCGAGATTTTGGGGGTGAGGAAGATGGGTTTGATTTCTTTCACAATAAAGTATCCGGAAAATAGGAATTGGGGAAAAAATAGGGATTTTTGAATTTTTATGAAAGAGAAGGGATTAATTGATAATAGGTAAACATATGTAGTGTACTTTAGTAATTTTACCTTATAATTATAATATTTTTGAAACATTTTACATTTTTGGGGATAAATACCCTAGTTTTCTACATTGATTTTTAGAGCACGTTTAAATTGACTTATTTTAAGAGTTTTTAAGTCAAAATCAATTTTAACCACTTTTATAGTGTTTAGATAAATTTTAAAAAGTGCTTATAAGCATTTGACTTCAAACTAAAATAATAAAAATAAGTCCCAAGTTTTATTGACTTATAAGCCAAAAATGAGAAGTCAATTCAACCATACTCTTAGGAGTCGTTTGGTTTGAATTCAAGTTATGATGGGATTAGTTATGATGAGATAAATTATGATGGGATTAGTTATGATGGGATAAGTTATACTAAAATTATTTTTTATTGAGTGTTTGGTTTGTTATATTCAAAATAATAAATCTTAAGAACAACATATAAGTTTACTAAAATACCCTTCATGGATGTGAAAAGTAATGTATAAAAAGTGTTTAAAGGGATATTTTTGTCATTTAGTCATTTTATCCCGGGATTACTATACCACCCATGGGAAGGGATAACTTATCCCAGTACTAATTATTAATCGCAGAATAAGTTATCCCAAACTTCCTAACCAAACACTAAATTAAGTGCCACAAAATAATTATCTCAGGACTATTTGTACCTATCCTTCACACTTAGTCTTATGTGACCTTTTTCAAGAAAATCCACCTTTTTACACTTGAAATATCTTTGTTATCTGACAAGTCTATTTTTTATTCAAAGGGTTAAAAGGATAGGAAATCTCATTTCCTCTTGTTATTCTGCCTCATTGTAAATTCTATACAGTATTTTTTTCTATACGACGAGCTTAATTGGAACAATATACATTGTGAAGATTCATATAGCATTCCTTACTACTTTTTTATTTGAAATGAGAACATAATTATTGATATTGTATTATTATAATAATAAATTGAATGCTCAATTTTAAACTGAAGCAAACTTTATTTACAATTATATACTTATCATTCTTGGGTTGATTTACACAAATAGCCATTTGTTCATATTTTAAAAAGTTGTACAAATTATTCTTTCAGATAAAGAAATTGTGCACATATAGGTACTTTGCTTTATGTGTTTTTTTTTTAGTTTTACCCGCTTATAACGTTGGTTCAATTTGTAACATGCGATAAATGTAATACTTCATTCGTTTTAAAATAAGTGATTTTTTTCACTTGACACATTCTTATGAAACTACTTATTTATATGTTTAAAAAATAAGCAATATTTTTACCAACTTACCTCTAATTAAATGTCTTGAAGAAAAAAGTTCATTTTCTTTTTGAAATCCTAAAGCATCATTTATTTTGAAACGAAATAAAAAAAAAAACTAAAATAACATTTATTTTAAAATGGAAGAAATATATAAATAAATTAATGATATATTTAGTTATATCTTTTGTTCTGTCCGCATTATTTATACGATATTTAGTTCTTTAAGGTCATGCTCTTAAATAATTCTCACATAACTTATGTCATATAATTATATATATATAAAACATTGAATAAGCAAAACTATACATCAATAGATATGAACAAATTATTTAAATCCAAAACTTAATAATCATGGAGCCCCCCCCCCCCCCCCCCCCCCCCGCCTTTTTTTTTTTTTTAATTCTGTGTAAGAAATTTAAAGTTTGAAAATGCTGTATAGGTTTCCCCAATTAGAACAACATAAAATTTGTGAATGCTCTTTATTCCTCGATTACTATCAATATCAAAATTATTTTTCTTTTATATAATCGTAGATATAAATTATTTATGCAGTATAATTTCACGTGTGAAAATTGAAAAGATATGAACACTCTTTTCTTATCTTGTGAAGATAGAAAACTATTTACGAAAAATACTCAATTATAAATAAAGGAGATAATACATTTATGTGATTAACTTAATTATCTAATAAGTGAATAAGAACATACATAAATGTGCTATATATATATATATATATATATATATATATATATATATATATATATATATATAATTTATGTGTTTGTGAATCTTCACAAATTCGTGTATTATGCCACTAATTTATACATCATTTTTATTTATGAGTTTGCAAATTTAATAAAAATTAAAGTGTTAAATTAATTCAATTGTTGATATGTTAAGTTAAATTTAATTATTCTTTTATATTTGAGTGTAATATTAATTTAAGATAGTTGAGATAACATTTATGTCCAACACAAAGAAGTTGAAAATTGACATTATAATTAATTAAGGTTAAATATTTTTAGTCAACTATTGTAAGAATTAAAATAAAAATTGTTTAAAGGACCACTCGTGCAATTATGCAAATAATGTTTTTACAACTTTTCAACTTTAGTAGTACGTATTTTTTATCCCTTCAGTATTGATAAATTTTAATTCTTATAATATTTGATAAATATATTTATTTTCTTATTATTTAGTATGTGTATTTTTTTTTACTTTAAATATTAATAATCATTTAATTTTTTTATTTTTTTATTTTAAATATTAATTAATTTTTAAAATTATAAGTAATTACTCATATATTACCTAAAACTTACATTGTTACTCTTACATAACTTTTAACAAAATTCAAACATAACATATTTTCTTGTATTAAACAGATTTAAAGCATATTTTAACAAGTTAAAATGAAATATTCTTATTTTATTTTAATTTATGTGTTTTTATTTGATTACACACGAAATCTAAAAAATGAAGAAAATTTTGAATTTCATTGCGTTAAATTAAACCTATGTGAATCTTTAAATATTGTAATCATAAATTTATCATGTAGATCTATAAAATTTTATTTATTAAATATAAAAAAGACACTTTATTTGAAACAAATCAAAAAGTAACGTAAAACATTTGAATTTAGAGGGAGGGAAGTGTTAAATTTTATCACTTAATTCTTAACTTATCGCTAATTATATATTTGATAAAATATTAAATGTATTATAATACATAATTATACCATTTATTAATTATTTTTATAAAAATATGTCAAATTATACTGAATAAATAAAAATGAACGAAAAAGATTGTACAATATATAAGCGAAAATCAAAATTATCATGGGACCAAAATTGTTTTCTTTTCCACTCAATGTCCCGAGTTTACATTAATTTTTTACTAAATTCGAATCATGCAATTTAATACTTATTTAAAAATGGCGTTCTTAATAAAACTTTATTCATATCTAACACTCAAAAATGAGATCTCTTGTTAAGAATGAAAAAGTCCTACCTCGATCCGATTACCAAAAATGTTAATCACTTTCCAAAAACTCCTCAAAGGAAAGCACATGGTTTTTTTATATATAGAACCGAACGCACAAGATACCAATCTACAAAAACCAATTACCCAAATTTGTCGTCTTCTTTATTATAATATACAACAACACAGTCTCCTTCACTACGTATGCAATCCCTATCTCATTCCGCCATGATAACACCTCCACACCTTTCCTTTCTCTTCTTTACTCTTCAATTTCACATCACTTTCCTCTTTCATTCATAACTTTCTCACCCCAAATTCAGAGTTTTACTCTCCTTACTCTACTATCCATGTATAGATTTGGTGAATGAATCCTTCAAATTTCTTGCTTGATTGTAGTTTTTTTCATATTTTACAGACACCCTTTTTTGAGTTATTTTACAGATTTGACAGACACCCATTTCCGAATTTGATCTGATTTTCAAACTGTAGTTATGTTTAACACACCTTTTGTTCTGTCCTTTCTTCTTTTGTTATCATTCCCACTGATTTTCATTTTTGGCCCAAAAATTCTCCATCAGAAACACACTGAAATCTCAATTCCTGATGAGGTTGATGATATCGCTTTATTTCGCCGTGCAACTCTTTATTCCATCGGCAAACGTGGTGGGGATGGCGGGATTAGGGCAGTTTCCCGGCTGGGTATTACGAATCCTCGCCGGAAAATTGCTTTTCTGTTTCTGACGAACACAGATCTCCATTTCGCGCCTCTGTGGGAGCGATTCTTCTCCGGTCATGGAGATTTGTACAATATTTACATCCACGCAGATCCATCTTCTAAAGTTGCTTCACCTGGCGGTGTTTTCGATGGACGGTTTATTCCGGCGAAGAAAACCGAACGCGCCTCCCCTTCACTCATCTCCGCCACTCGCCGACTTCTAGCCACGGCGATTCTAGACGATTCTATGAATTCCTATTTCGCCGTTGTTTCTCAACACTGTATTCCGCTTCACTCTTTCAAATTAGTTTACAAATCTCTCTTCAAATCGACTCATTCCCCGGTGCACCGGAGCTTCATCGAGATACTTTCCGGCGAGCCTCAGTTATGGGATCGGTATGTCGCTAGAGGAGAATCCGTCATGCTACCTGAAGTCCCATTCGATCGGTTTCGGGTCGGGTCACAGTTCTTCATGCTGACCCGAAACCATGCCCGGTTAGTAATACGAGACCGGAGGTTATGGAGGAAGTTCAAATTGCCTTGTTTGAACAAAGACTCATGTTACCCGGAAGAGCATTATTTCCCGACCCTTTTGTCCATGGAGGATCCGGATGGATGTACCCATTACACTCTCACTCGGGTCAATTGGACCGGTAGTGTGGGTGGGCACCCGCATACCTATTACCCGAATGAGATCTCACCAGAGCTTATTCACGAGCTTCGGGAATCAAATAACACGTATTCACACATGTTTGCGAGGAAATTCTCACCGGATTGTTTGAAGCCGTTGATGGACATAGCGGATAAGGTCATTTTCCGGAAGTAAAACGGGTCGGGTAAGTATCTTTTACCCATTTGTTAGCTTATTTTTCAATAAAGTTTGCTTTTTTGCTTGTTAGATTTAACCATTAGCAATGTCTCAATTGGTTTAGAGAATTCATTAGTTTAAACTCTATGAGTCGTAAATTTAGGTGAGAATACGTGTTAATTAACTATTGTTATATAGCAAGTGGACTAGTCTAGATATGGATTCTATAGTTAATATGTTTTGAGATGTTTGTACATGTGTGGGTTAGACTAGACATACATCAAGATTTCAATTTTTCCTAAGATAAAAGTGTGATCTTGGAACAATACGGAAGTTTTCGATTATAAAAAAAGTAGTGGACATGAAATGACTTAGTAGTGATACCTTATTGAGGTGTTTCAAGGGGCAAAGCCAGATAAGAAGCCATAATTTTCGGAGAGTCGTGTTATGAATAACATTATTTTATCTTTATGAGTTGGAATTGTTACGATGTGGTCGGGAAGTTGCCTGAAAATGTGTTTTTTTAGTCAATTCTATATGTTCAAAATAAAAATAAAAATCAATTGCTACGAAAGATTTGAGCCATTAATATTCAGAGAGTTTATTAGAAACAACCTCATGTTTCTAAGTAATTGGATAGTTTAATGCTTCTTCAAATCTAAGCCATTCAATCTTTGTCCCTACAAATTTGTTGTGTGTTCTTCTCATTGTGTTTTGATGTGATCCTTTTGTCTGGAAAAACGATCTTCATACTCCATAATTTAAGGGAAAGATGCATCAACTTTCGGGTTTAGGCTAATGTGTGTTTGTAGATGATCAAAGAGCCAAATTCATTGTAGAATTTGGTTCAAATTTGAAGTATGCACAACAAAATGAAAGAATATGGGTGGATTTCTTTTCTTAAATCTTGATGGATAGTGTTACACGGTTCTTGGGACATCACTATCGGGGTGTGAGTTAGTAGTTAGTCTCTTGTGAAACAATCGAAGTGTAAACTGATTCAAACATCACTATTATCATAATGTAGACATTTGGTGAAATAGTCATCAACTTTACCTGATATTGATAAAGAAATGAACTTTGAACGTAACTTAGTCGCAAAAAGCACCCCACCGATGGTGGGACACATTAGTCATGGCCATACTAATCTATTGGCAAGAGATGATAGGTATTTGATGAAACAGTCGAGGTATTATTATAAATTGATAGGCGCATCACCCTTTTAGAATTGTTTAATAGATATTGTTAATCTATGAGAACAGTGTGTGTCTGGTTGAATGTCCTTTTTTCATTTGATATATTTGACTAATGTATTGTTTTTTTAAAATGTTTTTTGCAGGTGTGGACTGGAATCTTTTGTATTTTAAGTTATTGAAGCACAGAGGGGCAAGCCAAAAGCTCTTTTGTTGGAATAAACAAATAAAATGTTTTTTTGGTGGTCCAATGTATATACAGAAAAAAGAAGACAAGATAAGGTGTGAAATAATATTATCAAAAGTCCAAAAAAGAAAAAAGAAAAAAAGGGGTGTGGGGTTTAGAGTGGAGTTTGTTACCAAAAGGGAATTATTGTAGGAAAACATAAAAGAGCAAAAAGTAGCAAATGGCTCATTGCTTCTTTTTTTTTCTCATCTTTTTTCCCTTTTTGTGTTCTTTAAAAAAATGTAGATGAAGAATAGTCAAGTCTCCCATATGCTTGCCCCCTTTTATGTTGTTGGTTTATTTGTATTATTACTATTTTCCTCAGTGTTAATGTAATGTTACATTAGTTTGTTAGTTGCATCTAAATATTGGATCCTTCCTTTCCTCTATTTACTCTTTTTAAGTTTTACGACTCTTTCCTCGTTCTCCAACATGGTCCATTCCTGCACAAACCCTCTTATATCCCTGCGTATATTTTTTTTTATATATATATTCTTTTATTTATGTATCAAGTGCAAGAAAATGAGCAAAAAAAAAATTAAAAAAAGAAAGGGTTTTTGTGCCGAATACATAAATGTAAGTATTTTTTTCATTTCATCTTTTATCCATTAGAAAAGAGGCCAAAATGTTGGTCAAATGAATAATTGGCTGTGAAATGAAAGAGTGCTAGAATTGACGCATGTATGGCAACAAGTTGAAACTGGGAGACCAACTATTATCCAAAAGAACTGGCAGGCGTAATTCATTAGGTCTATTCATACCCTAATACTTGTTTGGCCTGCCTCGATGTCCTCTTCTTATACTCATCGTATGTAGTCAGCCTCTGGATACTTATATTCAGAGGCGTATTTAGGAGGGTCATCGGGTTCACATGAATCTATGTTTTCCTACCGAGATCATATATAGTAGTGTTATATTTTTAAAATATTATTGAAATATAGATGTGTAAATCCACACTCGGAATATCATATAATGCGATGATGACTAAGTGCACCTCTCTATGTGAGGTTAGAAATTTGAATTTTATATTTATCTTATTTTCTTTTTCTTTTTAAAATTAGATAACACCTCTCTAAGTGGTTATGAGTAGCACTTTTGACATTTTATATATATATATATATATATAATTTTGGATCTATAATGTTAAAATTTTAACGTTTTTTAGTAATAAGAACCTAAATGTCGAATCGATCAAATTTATATCTTAGATCAACTTTTTTGTAACAGTGCACCCATCATCTCGAAATCCTGAATACGCCTTTGCTTATATCTTCTTATCAGGGAATATTTATTTCTCCTCTTCATATGTATGTAACTATCCTAATCTCGTTTTCCTCTTCTTTCCATCACAAAGAACTTTCCATCATGTCTCAAATATCTTCGTTCCTAATCTTTTTACTTCTAGTATGCCCACACATTCTGTTAACATTTTTATTTATGTTATTTTCATTTTCTAGACATGCGAGCTCTTGGGTAGTCAATTCTCTATCCAATACAACATATTGGTCTAAAATCCATTTTGTAAAATTTACCTTTAAATTTTGACAACACATTCTTATCACATAGAACATCGGACACGAGCCTTCATTTCATCCCTCTAGCCCCAATACGATGCTTTAATACTCTTTTCAATAATCAAAATGGGAAATAGAAAAATCAAATTGTACCCAATCTAATTAGATGTACAACAATATATTTAGTATAGTTCTACACAGTAGAATCTAAGTCTAATTAGGTTTAATTTTACTATAATATTTTAAGAAATCCAAAACCCAAAAATAATTTGAAATATTTTTAAAAAATAAATAAAAATTGGCCACAGAACCAGTTGACCCCATCGATATGAATTGGCCACAAAACTAATCTTTCATTCTTAATTGTTGCCGGTCAATTTTTAAAACAAAATCTATCGACCTAAATACTAATATTCAAATAAGAGGTACACTTTTCTTTATGCCAAACTTGTGAGTTAAGTAAAAATCAGGTGGAATCATCAATTTTTGAGTCTACTATGAATTTTAAGTCAATGCTTGAAAAATAATAGGAAAATAGCCTTACTTTAAACCAGAAATAAAATTTGGACAAAAATATTCATCCATAACAAGTTATAAAGGTTTAAAACCCCCTAAATCGTGCTTCTATTTGAAATTCTAGCAAATTTTTGAACCCTATAATTCATTTTTGAATTTTGAACTTATAAATATTTGAACGTTATAAATTATCCATCGGGTATCTTTAATTAATATATCTTTTCATATTGAAAAGAAAATTATTTCCAATTTTTAAGTGACTAGTGTGACAAGAATGAAAGGGAGTGTAGTTGACAAACACAAGTTCTGACTTCTAAGTGATGGAGACATAGCAGTAAGTTATGACAAGTATTTCAATATTTTAAGAACCGTTTGATCATAAAATTATTCACTTTATTTTTTAATGATCGTGATGTCTAAAATTATTCACTTTTTTGGTAAAATAATTTGTTACTTTGTATGAAAATTAATGTTTGAACATGAAAACTTCCAATCCAACTTGAACTTGTATGCTAAAATATCTTATAACATATTTTTGTTTCATTTTTCACTTTTGAAATTGTTATTTAAAACATGAATATTTATTTCAGTACAACCATAAATTACTCTCATGAATACAATATTTATTCACATTTACACATTAAATGAGTTACAATTGTTGAGTGAGATTACCTCCTTGAAGCTTAACTCCAAATTTCACCTACTTGGTAGATTTTAAGATTCTATGGAAATACCCTGATCTAATTTCTCAGAGCCCAAGCTCAAACACTAATATATATGGACCGGACTCCTCGTGATCGGGCGATCACGAGGTTCTGGTCAACTTAGGTGAGTTCTCCTCGCAATTAGTTGTGCATTAGACTCTTTTATTTCCCACGCCCTGAACCTCTCATGATGGGCTCACAACTTTATGCCAAGCTCAAATGAGCTTCTCGCGATTAGCCTCACAATTCATTCAACCTCATTGTCCCCTCCGGAAGGTGAGGCTTCCCCATCTCAGACGCCCCCTCGCGATTGACTCGCATAGTAAGGTGCCCTTGAAAAGCTTGGGTTCAATTTTCAACTATTGTTTTGATATTTTGGCATCAATCCTTCCTCCAACTTATCCCAAGCATCTCACTTACTTCAAGTGGCCTTGCTAATGTATTTAGGACACTTTAAACACTTCAACAAGCTCAAAGTTAACCACACTTGAGGCTTCAAGTTTATGTGGCTTTACGAATAAGATGTAAGCCATGAGCATTAACACGTTGACTCTGCGGACGGTAGAGAGTACATACAAACCTAGAGAATTCATGATAAACCTCGACCTCACCTCAAGAAAAAGCATATAAAATGAAATCAAAAAAGAAACTAACAAAAGCGAAAAAATCATGACAAATATATATATAACCAAGTCACATTTAGCAAAAGAAACATTTCACTATAACAAAATGCACGCATTAATAATCTACGATCATAGTTGGTAAAAGCAACACTCACGATAACGAAATGCACGCATTGATAATCTACGAATCATATCAACATTATATACTACTAACAACACACAAACAAAATATAGTCTAATTATACCAAGAACTTAAGATCCTCCCAACTTCAAAAGAAAGATAAGCATCAAGGCAAGCATAACATACTTGATCAATGCTAAGCCAACGATCATCCCAATCACTCATCGTCACCCTCTTCGGCTTGTAAATCTCAATTCCAAGAATTTCCTTCACTAAACCCTTAAGCCCATAACTCCGAAGATTGTCATTCTCAAGTTCCTCCATCGCCCACTCCCTCAAATCAACCGTATTCGACACTCCAATTCCCCAATCATTCAACAATTTCTTCACATCATTCTCAACCCCAACTCCAACAAATCTGTAATCGTCGTTATTCAGGAAGTTACGGAGTTTCCGGGGGATATTGGGGGCGTGAATGATTTGGTAAATCAAACAGGATTTTCCGACGCAGAGTTGGAGTGTTGCGACCGGGTTTTGACCCGCACCCGGGTTGAAATTAGGGCGCCATTCAATGTCGATTCCGACGATTAAGCGGTGGAGACGGGATTGGTTAGAGGATTCGGTGCTGTCGATCCATGAACAGATCATGGCCGGATCACGGGTAACTAGGGTTTCGATTTCGGTTTCGTTCAAAAATACATCGTAGAGTTTGTGACTGTTGCAAGGTAACTGGTAATCTTTGATCCTCACACTCATGGCGTTCAAAAGCAGAAGAAACAATGGTGAATTTTGAAATTTGGGACTGAGAAACTAAATTAGGGTTTTAAGTTGTAACTGACGGGTCAGTGGCCTAGTGATTTGGGTTTGAGACTTCCATATTGGAGGTCTCAAGTTCGAAATTCTTTGTCAGCGAAAGCAAGGGATTTGTCTTCTGGGTCGAGCTTATCGCACCGGACTTGTCTAATGCGGATTACCTTTCCTATGTGGTTTGCGAGCTATTGCATAGAAGCGGATGTTTTATCCTGTGCGCACCCAAAAGATAGCGACTGCGATTTTCCCTTGTCATAATAAAAAAAGTTGCAACTGACAGGTCGGATTAAAAGCCATTAATGTGAAGTTATTATTAGGAATAAGTGTTACTTTAGCAAAAATCGTGATTTACTCAAATAGTAATTTCAATGTGAAAGAGATTGTTTGGACTATTAAGAAAAGATTATGCCAAAGAATAACTAATCACTACTATTGCTGACTAGAATTTTTTTTATAAAATTATGTGTATTTAAAAGTTTATGATCCTAAATATTTTTTTAAAAAAAAGAAACAAGGAGATATGTAATTTATCATTGTAGCATTTAGGAATTCAGGATATGAATTATAATTCTCATTTTGTAAGATTTGAATTATTTTTTTTGTGTAAGAGAAAAAAAATATAATTCAAGTATATTCAAACAGAAGAATAATATTTCAAAAGAATGTGACATGATTCTTCATGTTTTCTTAGGGTCCGTTTGGTTACTGGTTAGAGTTATGCAAGGTTTAATTATGCAGATATTAGTTATGGAGGGTTTAGTTATGCATGTATTAGTTATGCAGAGTTAGTTATGCAGGTATTAGTTATGTAGGTATTAATTATACAAATATTAGTTTCGTAGATATTATTTATGTAGGATTTAGTTATGTAGAAATTATATTACATAAATTATAACTTATTGATTATTTAATTTATTGTAAATTAATATACTTTTTTTAAAAAGTCGAAAATTATAAAATCCATGCTTATAAACAAGCAGTATCCAAAATAAATAAAATGCAATAGTCCCTTGAAGGTGGGGTGGGGTGGGGGTGTAAAAACGATGAAACTCAAAAACACCCCTGGGGTCATTCTGTTTTTTTTTTTTTGGGTGGTTGTGTGTGTATGGGGGGGGGGGTAAATAACGTAACTACAAGTTACAGAAATAGATTAAGTCCTTTTTAAAAAAAGAAGAAGATATAACTCCTTAATTTTGTAAATTACTATACATTATTATTTACAAACAAATAAGTAAGAAAACAAATTAAGGGTAAATATGTAATTTTATTATTTTAATCCATGTATAACTAATACCCTCATAACTTATTCCACCTTCTACTCTGCATAAAATTATACATAGATTTCTTCATAAGTTATATAAGTATTAGCTATGTGGCATCACAAAAATACAACCAAACACCACATAAAATCAATACATGTATAACTTTTATACAACATTGGAGACACACCAACCAAACATTGTATAAAATTTATACATGAATAATTTTGATTCTATTTACAAACCAAACATGGTACAAAATTAATGAATAACAAAGTTATTCATGTATTAACTTTGCCCTTATCCAGTAACCAAACGGCCCCTTAGGGGTGTTGGTAATGGTTCACGTGATTTATTGTGCGTGAGAATAGTGGCATGGCACGAGGTGTATATCTTTGTATATTTATGTATATTGCATGGATATACAAAGAAATATACATGAATATACATAGATATACAAAGTGATAGGAAAAATGGATACAAAGTATATCCATGCACGCAACTGTGTATACTTGTCGATGTTCAACTTTGAATTCCCCGTAGTTTAGTTCCACAAATAAAATCTAAAAAAATAGGAAATATGTATTCTCTTTGTCCATCTTTATTTATCCGCTGTGCTATTTTTGATGTTTAACAATACTTGTTCATTTTATAAAATCAACGAATAATTTATCATTTTTATCTTTTTACTTTTGCTATTAAATACTATTAATTTTTTAATGTTTAGATAACTTATACTCCCTCCGTTCATTTTTACATGTCATCCATTTCTATAAATAATTGGTCCATAATACTTGTCATTTCATAAAATCAATGCATAAATTATCATATTGTTTCTTTTTTATCCTTGTGAGTTATTAGCCTTGAAAATATACATTTGACCAACTTAGAAAAACTAAGTAAATGATTCATGTTCATTGGTTAAATTAATTTATATTCATTGATTGAAAACTTGAATTCCAAAAAAATTAAATAAGGGTAGAATAATAAATTTACTTAGTTTCTTAATGCACGTGAAATTCAAAATGGTGACATATAAATAGGAACGGAGAAAGTATTTAATAAAGGTGATTTGGTAAAATAACCTCTATAATTTATTTCAATAGTGGACAACTATTATTACATAAATAAAATAAATTTTATTGGTATTTTTGTAAAGTAGAAAGAATATTTTCAATAAACTCAATCAAATAAAACTAACATGTCTAAATTCAGATGAACAAAATGTCTCATGTGCCTTTTTTTTTTTCCTTTTCTCTCTTTTCAATTTTGAGTCTTGAGCACTAATGCTTTTGAATTTTTTCTAAAAAGTAAATCCACTTTAACAAATATCTCTACAAAACAATCTGCTTAAGTAAGAAAGCAAATAAACAACTTGAAGATAGTTAACAATTTGAATTAAAAATATTTTTTTAAAAAGTTGACAACTTGCAATACAAAATTAAGCAACTTGAATTAACACACTTGCTAACCAACAAAATAACAAATATATTTTTTAAATGAATAGGCCAAACTTTCAGTAACCCTATTAGGAACAGGACAAAAATATTTGGTATAAAATAACCTAACTTTGCATTAAAATAATCTATGAAAGTACATCAAGCTATTTCAAATGTACAACATATGAAATCATTATCTTCTAAAATAATAATATTGTATATAAATAACCCCAACCCCCTCTCAAGACCCCACACTTTAACTTCAAGTTGTGTTATGATAAAAAGTGAAAAATAGATATTTTTTGTTATCTTTTAATCAAAGAGGATTAGTATATAGCATGTGGAAGCTCCACAAGGAAGTGTCTACAAAATCTAGTATACTATGTTTGTTCAAATTTCAATTGGAAAGAGAATATAATATAGTATTTACTTTGTGTTGATTTCGTGTTGGTGTTAATTAAATATCAAAAATACAGATTTTTCTCACCATAAATCAATAAAAAACTATCATATAAAATATAATTTTCTTACTCATTCCTACCGAATAGTGTGAAGTTTTCTAATTTTTCATGCAAAACAATTACTATTTTTTCACCAATTTATTTAAAATATTTACAAAAATAATTACTAACCATTTGTTAATAAAATAGTAAGGGTAATATTATTGTTTTATTATTTGACTTTATTAAATTTACTGTCTAACAATAGTTATTTACTATTGATTTGACACACCCTTTAAAAACAATAAATAGTAAGAATAATATTACTATTTATTGTATTATCCTTTGACTTTATTAAATTTAATGTTTTAAAAAATGTGTTAGATGATAAATAACAAGGATAAAATAGACACAAAGATAAATTTTCTCTTGATTTTCTAAATTAAACAAATATTGTTATACAACTATTTTTAATATAATAAATAACTATTATTAGACGAATGAAGTAATAGATCATTACATATACTTTTTCTAAAAATGTCTAGAAAACATAAGAATCTTTAGAGGGATCTTTAAAGAAGCATGCCTAGTAAATTGTCACTTCATGAAAAGAAGTTGCATTCACATGTCTGAGTAAAAAGACTAATTAGGGTCATTGACGGGTTGGTTAGAGTCACACAGATATTAAAAATATGAAAATTAGTTATAAAAAATTTATGTAATATTAATTAAGTGATATACTCTATTTCATTTAAGTGAACATACCAAATAATTGATAGAAAATAATATATGCATAACTAATTTTATCATAACTAATACATTATATTCAATATTATTCTTAAACACCCCATGAAACAACTCATTAGGGTATGTTTGTATGGACTGAAAATGTATTCTATTTTTTTTCTTGATTGGTTGGTCAACAAATTTGGAAAACACTTTTTCGATAAAACAAATTCACTTCTATAGTGGAAACAGAGAAAACAAGTTCCACAAGTGATATTCCATGTTAATTGTGCCTCTTCATCCTTCACCAACACACCTCATTTTCACTTCTACTCCCATCCCCTATTCCCGCCAACCCTACCCCCACTCGTACCTCATATTATTTGTATACAAAAAATATTAAACAAACTTATTTATTTTCATGAAAAATATTTTCTACTAAAATCATTTTTCAAAAAGATATTTTTCATGAAACACATTTTCCTTCTGACTGAACACACCCTTAACAAGTGTTTTACCTTTTTTTAAAGGTATATCACAGATACATTTGTTTTATGAATTTTTGAACGCTAAATCTCCCCTTAGTGACATATAAGAAGAGACATATTTAGAATTTCAAGTCTAATTTTTTTTGTTACAACCTCAAGTTATATACAAATATCGTGGATTCAAAATTTAATTTTTATAACTTTAAACTCATTATTATGTAATTATGAATTCAGACATATAATTTATCGCAATTTTCGTCAATTTTTACACATAAATTTATATTTTACATCACACATACTAAGTTAATTAAGATAAATCTAGTGCTTCAACACTCCACCGGTCCACCCACATTAATTATATGTATGATCGTAATAATAACTAAATTAACTATCAAATATTTAATATTATTTTTTAATACATATACCTAGTTTAAGTAAAAATTACAGAAATAGTGTGAATTCGTAACTTATAAACTATCTCCATCACATATTCTATTATATTATAAAAGAGAGTTTAGGCTCAAGTATAATATATAATATTCAAGACTGAGACTTTTCCCAATCTTGAATATTATATATTATACTTGTGGGACTTTTAAAAGGAAGTTTATACCCAACTATAATATATAATATTCAAGTTCTAC